TGCAAATCAAAGCAGAAGTTCAAAGGGAAAGAAAAGAAGAGGAAAAAGAATAAATAAACAGCAGCACTAACTTAACGTACCTCAAGGACGTGCTTCACAACAGATGCTCCCCTATACCTCAGAGCTTCCTGCCGCGCGTTGCACTTGTCCACTTCGGGGAAGGTGCTATTGATAAACCACCTAGCCCCCATTACGTTCTTCGCCTCGAACAGGCTGCTCTGAGACACCGCAGGGGAAACAGGGTCCTTCCCCTTCCCAGGAGCCCGTACCTCAGCCCCCTCCTCCAACCGTCTGAGCTCGGGGTCCAGCTCAACAAAAGGAGGCTAAGGTACGAACTCAGGCACCTCATCCTCCTTATCCTCCTCTACTACCTTTTGCTTCTTTTACAATGCCCTTCTCTCCTCCCAACCCTTTCTCTTCAGCGGTGGTACCTCCTCCTCCGTCCTAGCTGACGCCAAGGGTACCACCTCTTTCCCAGCCCTCCCCTCATCCACTTGTTTGGCTGAAGTCTTTGACTTCTTCCTTGGCTTCTTAGGGATGGGCGCTCCTCCAGCAGTGTTCAGAAATTGGTCCATTTCAGCTGCAAAGCAAGAAACACAATATTAGTCACAATTCTATGTTCTACATTTAACGCTACAGTATGTGTCAAACAAACCTTCACTCAGGGCGCTTGGCCCATAGAGTTCAGCAGCCTCTATGCATGCTGCGCTGGTGAGGTCCATGATATTCAATTCCTCCCCCCTCTTCCTCACCAACCTCCCCACTTCTTCCTCCTCATCCTCATTTAAGCTAAACTTATTCTGGTTGGCCCTTTTGGCCTTCCAGGAGGCTAACGCCCTCACCTCGGCATCCCCTTTCCCTCATTCCGTGTCATCCACAAAAAAGAATTTTTCCTTCCATCCCTTAATGGATGAAGGACCCGCCGTGAATAAAATCCTACCCTCCTTATTAGCTACCCTTGGGGTGAAATAATACCACCCCTTATCTCTCCTGCTACCCCCCTTTAAAACAAAAAAATACTTAAACATATTTACAGTTGGCACGCTAATCCCCTGAGCTCGGCAATAAACTAAAAAACCTATTATTACCCTCATTGCGTTGGGGACCAACTGTGTCAACCCTATGTTGTAATCTAACAGTAAACCTATTAGCAACTCAAGAAGTGGAAACCTGAGTCCCGCTATCAAATAGTGGGAATACACAAGCATCCAGTGATCCCGAGGAGCAGAGCACTCCCTCTCCTCTACCCCAGCTGGCCTAACTAATACCCGAGAAGAGATCTCGTACGTTTCTACTAAGTGACACAGGTCATCCCTGGTCCTTAGTTTAGATCGGTACTGCTTCACTTCCTCTACTATCTCTGCATTCCTATCATAACCTCTTTCCCCATTACCTTCTACTTCTACTATGGTGAAGGGTATGCTATCTACCTCAACCCCTCCTCCCTCATTCCTCCCCACCTCTACCACCTCTCCTCCCCTAACTTCCACCACCTCATCTCCTCTCACCCCCTCCACCGTTTTCTCCGAACTAGACGGAGATGGACTACTCTCAGTGTCCATGCCCCCATAGTCCAGGGGCTCCACCTCACTCCCTACTACACTTCCTGTCCTTTCTGAAGACATTTTCTCAAACTTTGCACGAAGTAGGGGGGGAGGAAGGAAGTCAGGACCCATAAAAAAAAAAAAAAACCCCTTTCATTACACATTCAAAACCCTTCTCATCTTTAACCCTAACGTCCTTCAGAGGACTGTAAATCAATCACAGAAAGGGAGAAAGGAGAAAGGAGAAAGACGCTTCGATTAACTTAAAATCAGAGTTCCATCTACATTACTTGATTTTGGTTTCGAAAGACTTGATTTAGAATTCCCCAGTTGATGCTGCAGTTCACACACAGGAAACACACGGTGAAGCTTCTCGCAGAAGTTTTGCAGGAAAAGAAATGCAAGTAAACTTTTTTCTGCAGAAAAAATGCCTATTTATACTTCTGGACAAAATTAGATCTCAACGGCTGAGATTCGTTTAATCTGGCGGTTCATGTTGACACCGTTTGGAATTCAACGGACAACACTAAACGATACCGTTTTCAATTCGACGGTTCATTTTTTAAATTTGCCCGTTTTAACTGTTGCAGTTATCTTTTTACGGCCGCATTTATTGCGCACGTCATTCCAAGGACAACTGTCACACCTATGTCAGTACTTTTACACGGGCCCACCTACGCCCATTTCAACACCTCTGTTCACTTTTGCATATTCTCAATTGTGCAAAGTGTTTCACCTCGGCTTCAACCACAATAATGCTGCATTACATTTCACATCGGCTTTGGCCACAGTAAGTCAATATCACACATTTTATTTCGGCTACGGCCATTATGACCTCAATCATTATATTTTATTATGGCCCTGGCCATTTTGACTTCTGTCTTTACACTTGAGCCTAGCTCAGCACTTCTGTTTACTTATACAATTATAATTGTCAACTGCTTTACTTCGGCTCCGGCCACAGAGAACACATGTTTTACTTCGGTCCTGGTTATTGTGACCACATCACATACTCTACCTCGGCTCCGGCCATTATGACTCTGGTCATCATATTTTATTACAGCTCCGGCCCTTATGACTCCGGTCATCATATTTTATTACGGCTCCGGCCCTTATGACTACGGTCGTCACATTTCATCACGGCTCCGGCCCTTATGACTCCGGTCATCATATTTTATTACGGCCCCGG